ATTAGATAGGAGCTTCGTGCTCAACTTAGTTATCAATTTTATCATATTAGTTTGACATCTTTGATACAAGTAACGAGTTCACTTCCAAGTGAACAACCCGATAGTCTTCTTCTTATCATAGCATACCAACCAGCGAACACCCAGCCAAGTTTAGTTAGCCAGTTTGAGTATTCGTTACAATAAGGTACTAACTAGGTCTTAGTATATATAATTATACTCTAATAAAACTTCTACTATAGTAATAATATCGAGATTTTATAACTATATTTAGCTTTATCTTATTAGCGTACTCTTCTTAATTAAGATAGTATAGGTTTAGGTATAAGTAAAGGTATATAAACTTAATTATTATTATTTATAGTATCTAGAGTAAAAGGAATAAAAATATCTAAAAAATTAACTCTACTGGTGACGGTTAGAACCGTCAAACCGTCACCCTACTAGAGTACTAAATATTAATAAAGGGATTTTTAAGAATAGAAGGGACTTTAGATAGAGATAATCAGATATTAGGGTTAGGTTAAGGAATAAGAGTAGGCTTAGGCTTAGGTTTATATTTAGGTTTAGGCTTAATATAGTAAACTAGGCTATTAGGTAATCTAGTATACTATTAATATATTAGTAGGGTATAGTAAGACTTAAACTTTAAATCTTAGATTAAGAGACCTTAATATACGTTTATCAGGTTAAAATATTATATAATAAGACTATACTTATGCCTATCTTCGCGTTTTTAGTTATATAAGTATTTAAGGTTCTTATAATAAGTTCTTGATTACCGTAATACGCTCGTTTATATTCGAATATCTAAAGGTATTAATATAATATCTAAGTACTATCGCGAATAGAAAACCGAAGAAGTACTTTAATCCTTTAATAGCGATATTATATTTAATACACCGGTCTAACATAGCTTGTAAATCAACTAAATGCTCCTCGAAGGTACTACTAGTATAAATACTATTATCTACGTAAATCTTAATAGACGGTAGATCCGTAAATATAGCGTCTATTTGCTATTAAGTATATACCGGAGTGTTTCTATATCCTATAATTATATAATTAGATTAAAACTAGCCCTTATATATAACAAAGGTTATAACCTATCGACTTTTAGGATAGATACGCTATTACTAAAAGAACGAGATTACGTTAATTATCGAGATCCGAGTTATACCGCGAAGGTTATTAATAATATCGTCTATAACTAGTATTAGGTAAGCGTTAAGTAAAACCATAGAATTAAGACCTTGAACCCCATACAATCCAATCTAATAACAAGAGAAACACCATCACACAACATATCCCCATCTCCCCCGGGCCCTTCCTCGAAATCAAGCTCTAGCTTATCTCCCTCACCCTCCTCATCACAGTAGCAATACTACAGTAGACCATCACATCCCTCCCAACCATCAAATTCTCAGCTCAGACAGCTCTCTCCCCGTCGTAGTAGCCATAGCCGTCAACTCGGCTCAACCGGTACATATAATCTAGAAACCACAGCCCACCCAAACCCAAACCCTTCCCACAGTAGGGAAACCTTCCATTCGCTTAAGAACAGCAAAGCCCCGATCTTAGAGTGATCTTAGCCGTGAGATCTTGAAAACTTGCGTATCCCTTGCTCATACACGAACTTATACCGAAGCGGCAAGACTACTTCGTATCTGTTATGCAGTACGAGGAATATGGCTTTTTGGAACCAACAGTCAATATCCGTATTACGACATGTAAGATTACTTCTTATGTTAGATTGTAGGATCCTATTATCCCCCAGGTCTGTGAAGCAGATATAGTCTGCTGTGTGGTACAGGAATTGGGAGGGGGTGGTGGAGCCTGGCTGAGGAGGTTGAGGTTTAATAGGTCTATCCTGAGGGGTCTGGTATTGTTGTTGTTGTTGCGTGTGAGGAGGTTGCCCAAGCGAAGGAACGAGGATGGGCGTTATGATTGGTTTTTATATCGAACTGATAGATGGGGATTGGAAGATTAGGATGGGAGATTGCCTGTGGATGGGTGACGGGTTGAAGGAGAGTATGTGGGTATTTGTGGCTAGAGGTAGAATCGTGGTGGGTTTCTGTACTGTTTGTCATATTGTTGATGGCGCGAATACTGAAGTACATGTATTGTTTTCATATCTTACTGAAAGAGGTTTGATAGATGTGAATCAGAGATAATTTCCGACCTCCAAAATCGACAGAAATCCTTGCGAGGCCTTTACTAAAGTGTAGTGTTTCTATAATGAAGTTCGAATTTAATTAAGCGAGGGGGGAGGGCGTCGATTTACCGCCTCCCCAGTGTGAGAGGATTTCCATGGAAGAGAGATTTTTCGTTAAGATAAAAAGTGAATTAGTCGGAATCTGTTATCTGATATGTATAGTCTTGCATGTGCATACAAAATACTCTCACGGAATCGAATCTACAATACATTCCCATTCCAACAGCGACTAAACCCATTTCAACTTCGGAAGCCGATCTTCAAGTGGTTTCTGGCCACTAGCCTGCATCTTCAGCGCAACATCATCAACCTCCTTCCAGACTCTTAAAACATTCCCTCCGACGACACCCCTCGCTTGATCATCGGTAAGACCTTGATGGAGGAGCTCTGCCACCAGGTACGGGAATTTACTCACATCGTCAAGTCCCTTTGGTGTGTTCGGTATCCCATCGAAATCACTGCCGAAGCCAACATGTTCATACCCGATCAGCTCCCCGATATGCTTGACATGTCTAACGACATGTTCGAGCGTTGAATTTTGTGGGTAGAAATCAGGGAGTCCGGATGGATTCGAGGGGTTCGCGGTGCACGACACGAAGTCAGGACTGAAATTGACCATCACGATGCTGTTCTTCTTCTTCACCAGCTGGAGAATATCATCGGGGACATTTCTCGGATGGGGACAGATAGAGTAAGCGGAAGAGTGGCTGTAGATAGGAGGGGCAATGCTGCCTTCCCAGTCGGGTGAGCCACCAAGGACATCACGCATCGTATCCTGGCTGACGTGCGCGAGGTCAACGATCATACCAATGCGGTTCATCTCATGAATGAGATCTCTTCCAGCGGGTGAGACACCACCCCATTTGGGTTTTGCGACTTCGATGCCGTGTTCGCCTTCCAGGAGGGCGGCGTCGGCGTAGATGTTGTGGCAGTTGTGTGTTAGTGTCGCGTATCGGACGCCCAGAGAGTGGAATAGGCGGAGGTTGGATACCGAATTTCCGATTTGGTGGAGGCCCTCGATTGCGAGGGGGGAGATGAGCTGGCCTGCTTTGAAGGCGGGGAGCGCGGTGGTGCTGTTTGGTGGTGGGGAGATGTGATCTGGATATGCGGCGCGGAGACGTGATAGCACGTCAATCTGGGTGAGAGTAAATGCAACGGCTGCATGAGTTTAGCTTTGGTGTTTTGCTTTATACTACAGTAACTTGGTTACGAATTCGACCAAGGAGCTTTCTTCGGATATCACAATTTGGAGGGGTGTGGTCGCGTTGGGCTAACATCAATTGGGCAATAGGAAAGACACCAGAATCGAAGGCTATACATACATGCGGCATAATTCGCATCTGAAAAGTCAGAGCCATTGTGAGGACAAGGTACGTATGCACTCCAAAATGCTCCGCCGTTTTTGCCATCCTTCAAACGAGGTAGGTCAACGTGCATGGCCATCCCACCTTGCTCAAAAGGAGTGGTAAACTTTTCATCGTATATGTGGTTATCGTAGAGACTACGAATTAAGATTGCGAGATCATTGTGGCCATCTGATGGGTGTTAGAGTTTGGTGTGAATGAATTATTAAGGTGGGTGGTCATTACCAATCAGAGGGGTATCAGATAGGATATTGTTGACTCGCTGCTCCACGGTCTGGGGAAGAGGATCCAGGTGCAGATGTTGCGAGATCTTACCATGGATTACTCGAGGAGTTAAGGTAAAAGTTATACTGAGAAGAATTGACGTTCCCAAGATGGCTGATATGATCTTGTTTACAGTCTTTGAGTGCTTCGGTTGTCGTGGCCGCTTGCTCTGAGGGTCCTTTTCTACGTCTGAAGCCCGAGGGTGGTTGCTACCCGATGATCGGCTGTCTCTTGGCAATAAGGGCTCCGACTCGGTACCGGAAGCCATATTGAATTAATGAAATGAAGATATACTTGGCATCAAGCTCGAAGGGTGGTGGTTGTTAAAAAGGAGGGTCGGTCCACTCGGACCTTGGATGGAGATGCCGATAAGGCGGAGGTCTCGGACTCCAAATCCAAGGAAAGCACCCAGATTTATTTTGGGAACGACCACGTCCCTTTTCCTGGAGAATAAAGCGGCAGGAACTGTTCTATATTTGTCGTGCAGCCTCGTATGGTCCCATTGAACAGTCTTGTTCTAGAAGATCGTTGTCCAGAGTTGGAATTGTCTGAATGTGTTGATGAGTTCAAGAATCCGATATTTCTCCAAGATAGGTATCACCATCTTTCACTCCATACTGCTGCTTTTATATTGTGACTTTTTTTCGCCTCTGAACCCCTACACGAGTACAGCGCCAGGGGACCTGCACGCGTCACATTCATCTGAAGTGAAATGGAGCATGAGCCAGCATAAAGCTTACCTGGATTGTTTGTGCCTGAGATTTGTTTGCTTTTGTTTTCCTGAATAACCTCACTTTCCACTCACTACAAAATCCAGCGACGTTCAAAAGCTCACCAGCACATCTACGGAAGAGCACTATTGTGGAGTGCCTCACACCTCAGAACCCAATCAGTGGGATTTGTGGCGCAGGCCGACAAGCGACTTTGAGTCTTGGGACCTTGACAGACCTGGAATAATCCCAGCTGAGCGATCGTTGGCCGCCGACACTCAACCCTCAAATTCGAATTTCTCATAATCAACTCCTCCTGGATCAGCAACTCCCCCTTCCTGTACTAATATTCCACCAAGCAACGAGTCATCACAGACTGGCGGCGTTCGTTACTTGCACAAACGTCAACACTCCCCAGCCTGCTAGCCGGCTGCACCCCTTTTCCGACCGACAGAGATTTGACATCTCCAGACATTCATCTACACCACATCATCTACTAAGTTACACCACACGCCGCCCATCATGCCTGGCTTCGCAGATTCGTTCTGGTCGTCTGGCGATTATGCCGGAGGTAAGAAGTCTCTGAAAACCCTTCGCAGCCTCATTTGCTAATGCTTTATGGCAGGATTGGGCGTTCTCTTTGACAAGCTCCAGCAAGGTGTCGCCGAGAACCAGCAGATGCTCTTAATCGCAAAAATGAGAGCAGAGGCCGAAGATATTTATGGCACGCGCCTGGGCGATATCGGCACGGCAACAGATAAAATACAGGGTGGATTCTCTCGCGATGATGGAGCCAGCGTCCGCAAGGTGAGGATGATAGTCACTGGGGTGAATAGCAAGGAGAAAGGGGCGCTAAGCTAACATTCTGTAGGCATACGATGGAGTCCGTACAGAGATGGAAGAAGCAGCAAAAAACCACCGGAAAATTGCGCAGAGCATTCGCGACTTGGTCGTAAACCCCTTTTCGAGATGGTGCGATGCCCACGAATCGAGACTAGCAAATTCACAGGAGGATCTCCAATCGCGGATAAAGCTTCATGATAAGCAGGCGGAAGCGGTCAAAAAACTGCGCAGCCACTATTTCAACAAATGTCGATTAGTCGAGGACATCGAGGAGGAGAACAAATTGGCTTTCCAAGACCCAGAAACTAGTCCTAAACCAAAGATCCCAGAAATCAAGGTTGTCGATAAGGAGGAGGACGACGATGAGCAGCTTGAAATTGCCGATGACATGTACCAAGCAGAACAGGTCCGGAAAATCCTTGGGCACGTTTTGCAGACCGTTGCCTTGCGCGAGACTAAAGTTCCGATCCTGGGCACATACGCAAATACTACACCTGGCGCTGAGATTGTCGAGTACTTCCAAAAGCATATGCAAGCAACAAGCGTGAGCCATGCTGAGCGCATTGGACAGGATCTTATCACGCACGGATTCCTCCGCCTGGTTGGAAATGTGGGCAACATCTTCGCCAACAGCTCCAAGATGAACTATCAATGGAAGCCGAAGGCGTTTCAATGGGCTGGCATTCCGGAGAAGAAGCAGACATTGGGCCGATCATTCTCGATGCCACCCGGCGTAGACAGCGTCGACTCTCCAATTGTTGGCAGTGTTACCGAATACCTAGCTGGATGGAATCCTCTCAATACAGCGAATCCCAACGAAACACCAGGCGATCGTCTTCGAAGAGAAGCAGCAGAAGCCGATGAAAGATACAAGGCTGGTGTTCGGAAGTTGGATCTTTATCGCTGTCAACTCGAGGAAGCTATCGTGGAACATCTCAAGTATCTCGAACGATGTGAATTGGATAGACTAAAGGCTATGAAGACCATTATCTTGGATTTCTCGGGCACCATCAGTAACGTTATTCCAAGCTTGCAGTCAACTGTGGATAAAATGATGCTTTATCAAGAGACGGTACAACCTCTGGGAGATCTACGATACCTCCTTGAAAACTACCGAACAGGTGGTTTTGCCCCTAGGGTCACGGTTTATGAAAACTACTACAATTCCGCGGATGAACAGACCTTTGGTGTTGATCTGGAGGCACGAGCTCGTGCAGACCGAAAGCGTGTACCAGCTCTGATCACAACAATTCTGACATTCTTAGACAACCGCTATCCGGATCTCGAAGGCGATGAGGCTCGACGAAGTGTGTGGCTCGTTGAGGTACCATTGGCGCAAACTCATCGAGTCCGAGAAGCACTTAACACTGGAAAGGCGTTCCCTATCGAAACCCTGGAACCTTTTGAAATTCCAATAATTGCCAGCGTTCTAAAATTATATTTGTTGGAGCTTCCCGGTATGATGACGTTGCTGATCGCTTGGGCGTTTCCTCGCTAACATTGAATAGATTCCCTGGTTTCATCCCATGTTTACGAAATTATGAAGACGATCTATTCTACTCCGGCATCAGAATCATCCAATGAAGCACGCATTTCAGTATTACAAAATACACTAAGCCAACTGCGTCTTGCAAATATTGCAACTTTGGATGCTCTGATGACACATTTCACCCGACTCATCGAATTGACTTCGGCTGATGAGACTTATATCGCCGCCCTTGCAACAACCCTCGCGCCCTGTATTCTCCGCCCAAAGACGGAAACTTCCATGACCATAGAGGAGAAGTTTTCTTACCGTTTGATACGTGATCTCTTTGCTCATAAGGTAGCAATTTTCAGCGAATTGAAGCGGGCCTCTTCTCTTTCTCACACCATTAGCGTTGATACCCGCCCACGAGCAATCAGTTCCGACGAGAGTAATCGAAAAGCCAACATGGAAGCCCGCGCTCGTGCTATCATTGCAGCAGGAGGAGGTTCTAGGAGCCGAAACCCGAGTCCGGCACCCTCCCCTAGGGGACATCGCCGGGATCGCAGCTCGGGAGGACCAGAAACTCGATTCCCCGTTTCCGTTGTTCAAACCTCACCAACCAATCCAAGAGATAAGCATGCAGCTGCTCGTCAAAGTTTGGAAGTTCCTGGTGATATGGCAATTACAAATGCTGAGCCAAATGGACCTGCATCAGCGCCTCTTCAGTCTGTCACTAATGGCTCATCTCCCTCAGACACGCCTTCAACAAGTGCAACCTATATGCCGAGCGTAAATGATGGACCTGGAGAGATTCATGTGGAGAAGCGTAATAGTTTAGGGCGCTCGCCACACATCACCGAGGCGGGTGTTAATAAACGTGATAGCTTGGGACGATCGGGCCATGTCAGCGCCACAGCCAGCAGATTCGGAGGTCGTAAGCCTGTCAACCTCGCACGAATGAGCCAGAGCTACGAACCAAGCAAGCGCGACAGTGTAGGAAGTAACTTTGAGGAGAGTATCAGTGTGGGGGAGAAGACGGGTGTCACTTTGACTGATAAACCGATGGATGACTAAATCAGTAGATGATCTGGGAATTTAGTTCTTCGTTAGTTCTTCTCTTTTTTAAGGTGGAGCAAAGCGAAATTTATGGATGACTTGGGCATGGCATGAAACAAAAGCAAGTACATAGGTTTGCTGCGGATTTGATGCAAATGCAGGTGCGAATCAAGTGGGTGGGTGGGATAACTTACTTGTATGTATGTTTGTATGTATGTATGATAGAGCCCGTGTGTATGTGTCTTCTAATGTGGAATATGATTGATCCGATCGATGGATTTTTTTTGATACCCGTACTCCTACTTTACTGTACGTCCGCATAGCTTGGGATTAGCTTCCAAACGAGATACTGGTACAAGAGCGATATGAGAATTATGTTCTTGAAGGTACTTCGCCACAGGCATAATAATTGTAACTTTTGTGGGGGTTTTTGCCCAGTTCTCCACTGAAGCCACCCTTGGAAAGTCACAATTAATACGCCTGTGACGAAGAGTATAGAGGTTGTACTTAATGCCGGCTTATTCGGAAGCTCACTCGCGATTCAGAGAAGTAGCGCAGAAACAAAGAAGCTTTGAGAAAATGAAGCGGTCGCTGTAGAAATATGAGGCGCCCAGATTCAAGGGTTGTTTGAATATACGAAGTATCACGGTCCGAATTGCTACCTTTTCAACATAGACTTGTGGAGAGTTTTGTTTTAACCATGCTGGGATGAATGCGGGGCCGCCGTCGCCTTCCAAAGTCTCTCAGCTAATGTTTGTATAGATGAAAAACGTTATCGTCTCAAGAACTGGTACTGTATTAAAACGTCATCTGAGAGTGTACCAGTAACATCCCGCAGAAACTGAATCGTGCAATCCCCTAGGCGATGTTTTCGGGAAAGGTATATTTTCAGATGAAGAGTGGTATTGTTTTACTAATACCCTCGGATATCTTAGAACCGCTCCCTAACAATGACTTCCAATTAGAAGACTGTATTATAAGTGAATTAACCTTTTATATATCTGACGGATGTTTCTAAAGATTAGTCTAATCGAACATTTCCCGGAAAGTCCGTCCGTTGGGCTGTTATATGCAAACAACATCGGACTGGTAAAGAAACATCGGACTGGTAAAGAAACATCGGACTGGTAGTACAGTAGAGAGACATCGGACTGGTACAGTAAGCAACTTTACGCGTGGGTCACATTTGTTTCTCTAAGCGACCGTTTCTAGAACCAGGACCCTTACCAGTAGAACGTGTAAACAACGTTGTTTCCCTGCTGTGCCGCTTAGAACGACTGGACTCAAACACGTCAACTGAATCGCCAAACTCGTTTTTTCCAAAATATAGATTTCCATCTCCAGCCAACTGAATAGAACACTCTCCCCAATGGCTGCGTAGCTCATGAAGCACGGTGGCAAAATTCGCATGAGGATAGTCAAGCATATATATTTAACGCTCAAAACAGCTCTGTCATAAACATACTGGAATTTTTAGGATATACCGAACAAAAAAGGCGTCTAATTCGATGTACTCGTATGTTGTTCCAAGAAGTCTTTTTTGTTACTCAGAGTGAGGGGGTCCCAATACACTGACGCCCCGGCGTCAGTTTAGAGCTGACTAAGCGCGGGTTTTCACGCCCCCCCACCATCCACGAACACTCTACTTATACCTATAATTAATACATGCTTAACAAAATAACATATAATAGATCCTACAATATATATCGCTCCGAGTCTCGCGCATACTCCTCCTCAAGTCTAGCCCATATATCCCTACTCCTATTCTCAG